CACCAAGCCCCCTCATGGCAACAACGAGCTGGACAGGGAGGGGAAACTGTCTAGAAGAGAGGGAGCCACAGGAAAATGACCGAGTTTGGATATTGAACAGGCAGCGCCAGAAACCAAGGCTGGGGCAGCCACCAAGAAGCCAGAAGGATCACTCTTGTAGCAACAATATTAAGAAATAATATACTTGCTCCATATTCTCATTAGCTTAATTGCAGATAATTAGATGTTCTTGTTAAGTCCTCATAACCTATCATTAAGTGTTCCACATTCCAATAAGTTCTACACTAATCCTAGGTCCACTAATTACAGTTTCCAAGTGTACAAATAATTGCAATCAATATCTCTTCCCAACCTGCTAGATGTTGGTCAGTTTGGCCAAAATGAGGAGAAGCGTGTAATATAAGCCAATGGAGTTAGTCTAATTCAGATTCTCGAGTGATACTGCAGATCTTCAGCACCACTGACATTCACCAGGAATAATGTAACACTCGACGAGTCTATTTCCTCCTCTTTCAAGATGCTACAACTTCATCACAGTGCAGACAGCCAGGTTCTGACCACATTTTATTATATAAATATATCACACTAAACAATATTGAATAATATTACTGTAAAGCAACTTAAAAAAAAAACAGAGACATTGAAACAATTAGGTAATATCTTTGTGGCAACTCCTGCCTGACAGCTCAGGTGGAGCAGACCATCACCAACAATTGCTCTGTCAATGCCTCTTTTTTGCCAGAATTCCCCACCCTACTGTGGCCAAAATATGCCACCTACGATTTTTTTTTATTATTTTTCCTGTGACCAGGAAACACAAATGAACACTTTTATGTGACAAAATATATTTTTAAATTTTTGTTGTTGCGCCTGTGGGTGTTGAAGGCCAAATAGCCCAGAGCAGCCTAGGGGTTTAGGGAGCCACAAGGGGCTCCCCTCAGAAAATATAATGCTGTACCATATGTATACAATGTTATATAACCCAATATATATACACTATTTTGTATGACAATTATTATTATGACAATTTTGAAAGGCTAAAACAGATACAAGTGACAAAAATTAAGACACAAACTTGTTGGCTAAGTTAACAGAATAGTCTCAAGAAAAGAGGGAGGACTTGATAGATATCAGTTTACAGGAGTACCACTGGGTGGAGGAAATACAATGATACGGAGGAGGAGAATGGTAAAGACACAGTGCCTATGCCAAGTGAAGAGTCTAGGGAAATAATGAACAAGTTTAAGGGCTGCTTTGCAACAATAGTTTTACTGAAAGAAGAACCGAGTTTGATGCTATTGCAATGGTGGCCATGTAAAATTCTTATGTGCAAATCTTAAGTATCAGGAAAATTGACATAAAATAATACACACATAAAAGACTTAGCAGACAGCTACTAAGCGACCTAATACTGAGGCAGCTGCTTCAGGTTTCAGTGAACCGAGCACTTCAAAAACACTTCTTCATACATTTGTAAACATTTTATGAGGACCAAAAAATACTATTACAGTAAGAAAGTATTTATATAATTATTTTTTCCAGACACAACCATTACATCAGCAAAACAGAACTATGCATTTATTCTTGGGAAAATAAAACCAAATTTCTTAGCAACATAGGGAAACTGTACAGTATATTGATTACATCAATGAAATTACAGTAAACGCTTTAAATCCTAAATAAAATTTTGTCCATGAAAAAGTATAATTACACTGCCTACTGATTGGAAATGTATTCAATACAGAAAGAGTACAATTTTTGAAACCTAATACAGTATAAGGCATTTCTCTACTGCTTAAATATCTATCCAACAGGATATTGTCTACACAGTGGTGCAACACTTGGAGCAACTCTTCAGGTATTTAATTACTGCACTGTGCCGCCCTACATAACACGGGGGTATGGCGGTGCGCCACCCGACATGTGAGCGATGTTAGGATATAGTAAGATTCAAAACGTGTACGCTGTTTGTTGGATACGAAATAGACGCCCGAGACCTCCAGTGAGAGGCAGCCATCTTGAAAAAGAATTCCCAACATGCCCCAGGATCTCAGGTTGGCTCAGTTCTGAGTGAGCAAACATAGCTGGCGCACGCGCCTCCGACTCCCAATCCCCTGTTGGACGATTTTGTCATTGATCATTTCCTAGATCTTTTCAAGACTATCTTACACTTCACAAGTGTGGCTACATACCACCTCCAGGAACTAAAGCCAAAGGTGTACATGAGTGCATTGTTTGCAAGCACACAGAAGTGTATGACTGTAAATAGTGTGAGTGTACATAGTGTAAATTGAATATTGAAATATTGAACAAGTAATATTGTGACAATAAACATGTTTTTGTGGACATATTAGTGACATGTATCACAGTTGCTTGGAACATTATGAATGTTCTACTGTATACATATTATAAAGGACACAAATGTGCATCAGATACAATAAAAACAAGTAATAAGAAAGCATTGAAACTGCATTGAAAAAATGAATGAAAATATATTTGTGGCAACTCGCAAGTTTTGAATTGCCCGCGTGACTGCCTCTGGGAGCTTCTTGCACGAGCGAACACGTATCGTTGACGTCACATTGCATCTTCTCCACAGCCAAAGTTGTTTTTTATATACTGTATATATATTTATTTTTACATGTACATGTTCAGGGAAGGGATTTTAACAATTTACAAAGAATTAATTTTGGGGGGAGAAGAACACTTTATTTTCCTCACACCACCAGAATGTCACAATAAAAGCCGCGCAGCACAAAGGTTAAGCCCTATATTTAATTGCAATATATTTGATGTAAACACCTGCATGAAAAATATTTACTTGACAATACTACATTTAATGGATAAATATATCAGTGTAAGTCTGACTAAAATTGCACCATTATGTGTATGAATATTCCACTGTACTATTTATGTATATTTGGGATAAGAATCTGGGATAACATAGAAGATAGAAATGCACACGGCTTTCAGATACACAATACTTTATTACAAATTATATTAGAATCTAAAAATATTATAATGAAAGTATTGAAATATGCAGTGCATTTTACATTTCAATTTTATATTCACCACACTTCAACTGGAATAGTCATTTAACTCTTAGAGGATGAATTATGTCATACAACATACTGTACTTTGGGATATTCCAAGTAAATATGGCTTTCATCACAATATTTTTCTTTACAGATATTTAAGGAAATTGGCTTTTACTTATAAATATTGTACCTTGTATCACATTAGCTCAAGCAGGCTAACATTTTTCATAATTGTTTTCCTATAATGCTTCGAGTATCAATGATCTCCAAATGTGTTAAAAATTTAAACTGCATGACAATACAGTATTTGAATAGTTTCATGAATTTTCGGTTATCTTTATTAAGACCTGTATTTTATCGCCAATTTTTGGTGCAAAATAGAGCACTGAAGTAGGCCGAGTGTGCAACTGCTGACGACATAAATATGGATATTTCATAGGATAAGTAAATTTTATCTTATCAAAATTATTAATATCAATGTCCATAGCTATACAATAATAGTATATATATATATAGTTTGCTAATGCTTATAATTTTAAAATGCACTATTCAAATAACGTGTGTTATTTTTTCACTGAACTGTTTAGTACATCTGCACATGCCATTGAAGTACCGTAATGAACTTGAAAGAGGGGAACCATTCAGCATAATTTCACAAGATATCATTACAAAGAACATTTACACCAAGTGTTGAAAAGAAGAAAGAGTGATTATGGAGGAGCAGTGTGCTTACAGATGCTTAGTGCTGCCTTGTGTACACATACAGTATGAATAAAAGTATATCTGAACAGTATATAATCACCAACTAAATGCAGGATGAAAGTATTCAAAGAAAAAGAGCCAGAACTGTATGGCCCATGTACTAACTTTGTTGCAATTTTAGACACCATTTGTGTACTTTGTCTAGAAATATCTTGAAATTTTATCACTAACATAGAAAATCCACACTAGCTGTGATGAGGATTTGAACCTATGCACTGGGTATTCCCAGACGCATGCTTTAGACAACTAGGCCACAATATGGAAAGGAATTGCAACCTTGGGTTCTGCTGAACCCATGAGAATTCTCAAGACTTCCATTGAAGCTGAACCAGGATTTCACACAATTCTCCCATGCACTCTGGCTCTGTCGTCCAGTATTTCTACCTCTGACGCCCCTCTTTTAACACACAGACACACAACACAGACCCTCAGATCTTTCTCCCTATTTGACTCTTGTAGGATTTCACCTCCCAGATGGTACCTTGTGTTCAGCCTTCTGCTCCCTTTGCCTAATTTCATTACTTTACACTTTCCTGAGTTGAACTTTAGCAGCCATTTTCTAGACCATTCCTCCAGTTTGTCCAGGTCATCCTGTAGTCTCTGTCTTTCTTCATCTGTTTTGATTCTTCTCATAATTTTTGCATCATCAGCAAACATTGAGAGGAATGAGTCATACCCTCTGGAAGGTCATTTACATATACTGTACTAGAAACAGGATGGGTCCGAGTACAGAGCCCTGTGGGACTCCGCTGGTGACATCTCGCCACTCTGATGCCTCCCCCCCCCCCCTCACCGTTACTCGCTGTTTCCTATTGCTTAGATACTCCCTTATCCACTGGAGCACCTTATCTTTTACTCCTGCCTGCTGCTCCAACTTTTTTAACAGCCTTTTGTGAGGTAATGTGTCAAAAAAAAAGCCTTTGACACAGTACCTCACAAACTCTTTAGCGTGGGTGGAACACGAACAAGGGGGACACAGGTGGAAACTTAGTACCCAGATGAGCCACAGAGACGTTAGAAAGAATTTTTTCAGTGTCAGGGTAGTTAACAAATGGAATGCATTAAGTAGTGTTGTGGTGGAGGCAGATTCCATACACAGTTTCAAATGTAGATATGATAGAGCCCAATAGGCTCAGGAATCTGTACACCAGTTGATTGACAGTTGCGAGGCGGGACTAAAGAGCCAGAGCTCAACCCCCGCAAACACAACTAGGTGAGTACACACAAACCACATTAACGTGATATATATTGATGAGAAAATCCACTGGAGCCATGATGAGGATTCGAACCTATGCGCTGGGTATTCCCAGATGCACGCTCTGGATGACTAGGCCACGGTATGGAAAAGATTGAAACCTGGGAATCAGCTTGCAAGATAGACGTCAGAGGTAGAACTACTGGACGACAGAGCCAGAGTGCATGGGGGAATTGTGTGAAATCCTGGTTCGACTTCAGTGGAAGTCTTGGGAATCCTCGTGGGTATTGCAGAACCCAAGGTTGCAATTCCTTTCCATGTTGTGGCCTAGTTGTCTAGAGCATGCGTCTGGGAATACCCAGCATATAGGTTTGAATCCTCATCACGGCTCCTGTGGATTTTCTCATTGATATGTAACACATTACCGAGATTTCTCTGTGTACTAACACACTTTAATGTTGCTTTTTCAATATGAACGCATTAACTACTTAAAATTACAAACTTTGCTGCTGCTGTTTTAAATTTCTTATTAAATGTTGATTTAAAGCCATTTTTTGTATGTCTGTAATGCTGATGTCATTGTCTGAAGTGCCTTCGGTACGGAGGTCTGAGTAAAAGTTAAACTGGCTGCCTCTTTATAGTGACCAGCATCACATAATTGCTGCACTGCTGACTTCAACATAGTGTTGTCCCCAGTCTCGACCTAGGTAGAAAAAAAAAGTTTATCCTGTATATTCAAGAAAATCACTATTATCTGATAAATGATTACAGTATTAAAATAGTTACAAAAAAAATCTTTTTAAATTCATTAGTCCACCTGATTTTTTTTTTTTTTTAATTTTGATGCATAAACTTTCAAATAATTATCATTGATCAACTAAATTTTGTAAATTCTTGAAACAAGCCTTTTTGCCTCCTGATTCATATTTCAACTCTTCTCATATTTACTGCCACAACCCTTTTTTACTGTTTCTTTTGTGGATTTGTCTAATACCAATTTAGCATTCAAAACTAAAACAGGTATAGAGATGAACACTATAGAACTGAAAATTAGCTATATTTACGACAAAAAAAAGTGCAAATAAAAAAAATAAGCAAGAGAGGCAAGCAAGAAGACAGTAACTTACCAAATGGGCAACAAGTGGACCATACATTGGTGTGGGCAGACAGTGAGGCACCAGCTCACGGGTGATCACCCAACAAAGCAGATCTCCATCGTAGTCACATTCTTTCACCTAAAATACAGCATTTCAGAAAAATAAAACTACCATGAAAATGGTTAGCAGCCTAACAGAAAACTGCAAGCAACTAATCTAAAACTGAGAGAAAAATAACATCCTTGATTAAACCTATTATATACCAGTAGTGTACACACAGTGACTGACCTGCCAACTGACCACCTTGGGAAAGATAGTCTGATTATATGGGACTGTACAGTACTTGCAGCTTCTCTACAGTCGACAACAAAAAATTGGCCCTCAAGGTGAAAGACTTGTAATTTAGTGTCAGCAATAGGAATAGAAAACAGTTAATGTCAGTATTTGTCATGACTGAGGCACAGACTAAATAAATCAAGAAACTTGCCTCAAGAAACCAGCATTGAATGTAATGAAACGCCAGTTTCTAGGTGAGCCCCGGAGGCTCCCTGAAGCTAACACACACTGATCAGTACCATACTATTTAATACCCAGTCGCAGAGTTCTGTTTGTCTACTAGGGACCACGAGCCAGAACCTGGTCCCCTCAGACAGGTGCAGGGAACGATGGCCTATGATCACTTTACATTTAAAGGTAATCATCTTTGCCATCCCCTTGGGAGGCCACACAGAAAAAAGGTCGATCAAAACAAACCACTGCATGGTTAAAAAATGAGACCACAACCCCAAAATTATCAAAAGAACTCCAACAATAAAAACAAAATAAAATTTTTGTGAAACTAGCCCCCACTAATTTGCTCCTCCCCCACCCTGACCCACCTCCTTCCCTCCTCGCTGGAGACAGGAGAGGGAGCTGGCTCGGGTCAGCTGGGCCCCACACTGATCAGTTCTATACTGATGTCTGGGCCTTTTGGTTGTTCGTCACTCTGGTTCTGGTTTCCCGTGTTCGAGTAGTGTTTTTGCTTTTGGGCTTGCCTCTTACACAGAAGTGTGTGTAAGCCAGGAGTTTAGTGTACTGGAGCTGCATGTGCTCAAGGTTTTTTTCCTGGGCACTCTGTAAGTACTACCCTTTTGTGGTCCGGGTTGCCTTTCCTGGGGAGTTCAGGACACACTACCTTTAGGGAGATTCCTCACTTTGGTGGTTTGTGCCCTGCAGGTAAGCCGGTGGTCTGTGGCATCTGTCTTTCCTTGGGTTTGAGTGTTATTTTGTCTGGAGGGGCACACTGTGGTCTGTGCGACTCATTATTAAGGTAGCACATGGCACGCCGAAGTTTCTCCCGGGCTGCTTGTTTGGTGCGATTTGGTCTTGGGGGTTTCGTGGAGATTTTTTATTTATAGTTGGGTGGGTGAGCTTCATGTTCTGCTTCAGTACTGGGGATTTTATTCTTTTGGTTCTTGTGGTTTGTTTGTTTGGCTGCAGTCAGCTTCTCTTTTTCTGATGAAGAATGAGTTGGCAGGCTTTCGGAAGGGCCCTTTATTTGTGGATGTTTGGTTGGTTCGGCCGAGGATGCATTATGCACTTTGTCCAGTGGTGTTTTTATGCCAGATTTCCTTTACCAGGGCTCATATTTCTCAGGTTGTTCGCATTGTCATTAAAGCTAGCCAGCTTATAGTCTACCCACGTGCTCATGATGTCCAGAAGTACGCTGCTCTGATGGCTGTGTTTAATAATATGTCATGGGCTGATATTCGAGCATGATGACTTTGGAGGTTCAACAGGGTTTTGGTTGCCAGGTATCTTGTCTCTGGTCTTCTGCAGCCTTGTGTCACTGAGTCGTGTGCCGAGGCCGTCAGTCTGTCCTCAAGATCCTCAAGAACATCAGAACTAACTCTTAACACTTTCGCGCTTTAGATTAGAGATAACTCGTCGCCGTTTTTTTCTTACGATTCCGCATAACAGCCTACTTTTGTAGTCCATCGAAAAAATATTTCTATAAATTCCATTTTCTAACCGAAATGGATAGGGATACTCTCAGATTTTTCTCCATGAAATAGTTTTCATGGAGTTTTCATGGAAATAGAAATCATGTTATAGTTTGGAAGGACAAGCGCCCCGTCTCTGTCATCACCAATATCCACAATGCCGACACTACTCAAGCACACCTGTTGATTGACGGTTGAGAGGCAGGACCAAAGAGCCAGAGCTCAACCCCCGCAAACACAACTAGGTGAGAACTAGGTGAGTACAGCGCAGGAAACGCGTTCGTAAACGTGACAGGAGAACTGGAGTAGAAATTGTGAAAATGAACAAACCAAAGGCCATAGTGGATTACAATAAGTTCATGAAAGGTGTTGATCATTTTGATCAAATGGTCAAATATTATGAGTTTGCAAGAAAAACCCACAAATGGACCAAGAAGATCACTTTCTATTTTCTGCAAATGACCATGCACAATGCATACGCATTGTATAACCACTACTCAACAGATACAAAAAACCAGCGTTGAATGTAATGAAACGCCATTTTCTGGGTGAGCCCCGGAGGCTCCCTGGAGCTTATCAGGCTAATGTATGTTATGTTAGACCGGGACATTAACTAAGGAGTTCAGACCTACCAGGGACCAGCGCCAGAACCTGGCCCCTTCAGAGAGATTTCAGGGAGCAATGGCCCTGGAAAACCCCATATGGTTGGGGGTTTTCCTTATCTGCCATCGCCCAGGGTTAGGCACCCAGAAAGGTAGGCGTAACAAAACAAACCCCACATGGTAAGAAACTACAACAAAAACCGAACAGAGAGGTAGAAAACTCCCTACAATCCCAAGGAAACTAGCAAACAAGCAAACATCACACTTTACTGCCGCGCCGATCGTCCGCGCAGCCCTCCCCACCCCGGGAGGGGGAGGGGGGAGCCCCGGACCTACCGCGCCGGCTGCCAAGCTCCAGTTCGGAAGCTAAGCTTCAACCAACGCGAAAAAACCACCGATCGGTGGGAGGGAGGGTTTCCAGGGAGCCTCCGGGGCTCACCCAGAAAATGGCGTTTCATTACATTCAACGCTGGTTTTCTGTGGGGAGCCCCTACGGCTCCCTGGAGCTTCATACCCAAAGAGAAGGAAAAGAAAAGGCTAACCCGGGAGGCGGCCGCCACAAATTCTGCAACGCAAAGCCAAGACAACCGGTCGCAAACCTGCGACCCAAGGCAACAAGAACGCCCAAGAACAGACGCACATATGGATGGGCAACCAAAAACCCGTGCTACCCACAAATCCCTGTGCCCGAAATGAGCCCGAGACGTCACCAACACAGCAGCAAAAGCTGCAAACGTCTGAACAGCATGGGCGCAAAGACAGACCGCAGGCTGGAAGAAGGAAAACACTGCGGACGACCTGGGAGACCCGAGCCCTGAAAACAGGGAACGAAGGAACCGGATCAACCACAGCGCATCCCCAGACACGGTACGCCGGCAACAGCAAAAAACACAACCGGACAACACAGGACGCACCCCCCGGCCAAACCAATCAAGCACCAATACCCCAAGAACCCCTCCGGAAAGCAGCCGTCACGACCGGCGCCAGGACAGAGAAAGGCTGCACACCTATAAAGCTACCACCAGAACCAAAGAACAGGAAACTGAACTGAAGGGGCTACCACAAACTGAGGGGAAGATAAGAAGGCACCCAGAACAAGGACCAGGATGGCTCAGGCGACACATGAGCAGGGGAAACAAAACACGAGAAAACGTAAGAAATGTCATACTGTCTCCAAAACGAAGCTCGCAGGTGGGACACCGTCAACAAAGCCACCTGAACACCATAGAGATGGTGATACCCGCGTCAAAATACCAGACGCGAAGAGCCAAGGAGAAGGCCGAACCAGTCACAGACAGGACCGATTCGGCCTGCTGAAAGAGGCGAAGCCTCAGGAAAAACGCCCCGGGTACGGACACCTATGAAGCAGCGTCTGAAAAGAAGGCCGGGCTGGCCACCAAGGAACCATAAGGACTGTTCTCGTGGGAATGGGCTGCAACCGAGCCAGAACCCGAAGCAACAGCTGGACCGGGAGAAGAGGAACAGGTACCCCCCACCTCGACCAGTCCTGCCGAAAGCCTCCACCGTGAAGTCCTCGCAGGTGGGAAGGGCGCCACAAAATGGGCATCGCCTAGACCACGCCGACCCGAAGACGTCCATGGCCAGGAGTCCATATGCCCGACAGAGCCAACAAAACGAATCGGCGACGACTGGCCAACCCACGAAGAGGAATGAACCGAGACAGCTGTCCGCCAGGACGCAGGACACACCCCTGACACGAACCACACGGTTAGCCAAACCCCTGTGGTACCGGCAAGAACCACCAGAGAACAGTCCAAACAGAGCTGAATGGTAGAGTACCTAGTGACCCAAACCCTCCGAAGCGCAAACCAGACAGCCAGAAACACCCGAACCGTGCTGTGAGCCCGACTGACAGAGACTCCATCAACCTCGGCCGACCTGGTGAGCACTGGTCACAAAGCCCCAGCCGAGAGACGACCCGTCCGTGAACACATCGAGCGAAGGCTCGGGGAGGTGCCAAGGCATGGAACCCCGAAAACCCCAAAGAGGAAGCTGGTGACGCAGCACCAACACAAGATCCCCGGAGGAACCCAAGGAATGCAAGAGGCGGAAGGGGAGTCTCTGCAGGAACCAACCGACGCCGTAGCCAAACCCGACTCCGCGGGCAGACAAGCACGCCGAAGTGCAGACTCCCGCACAACCGCCCAAGCAACCGCTGAGCAACCCGGGACCCCTCTCCTGAACAGCCAAAGGCGGGACCACAGCCGCAGTAACACTTCTGGAGGGAAGACAATGAGGGGCCCAAGAGCCGTAAACAAGGCCCAGGTCCGAACCCAGGACGGAAACAGATGGAAAAACCTCCAGATCACCAGGAAACCAAACCCGGCGATCTGGAAAGAACCATCCCCTGGCGAGCAGACAAGCGGACTGACTGGGAGCCCACACCAGCCAGTCGTCGAGGTAGGCCAGACACCGAATCTCAGACTCAGACAGGGCACTAAGATCCGGTAAAGATGCAAAGAGTATACGAAGTGCCCATGACAAAATAGGGAAGGCAATAAAAACCTGAAGCCCCACCACCAACCGTGCTAGC